GACAGCATGATACAAATGACTATATTTAGATTTGGGAAACTTTCACACTGAGAGAATAATTAAACTCATAGATACTGAGCACATTCTCAAGGTCGATAAGCATGATGCAATGGAAAAAGTAAGTAACCCTAATTACTTGACCATCACAAGGGAATAGAACTTTAATGAAAGGCAAATATATATGACACGGCAAAATTATTATGAAACTAGGTTCCACCTAATTTTACAATTTATCTGGTCCAACGGCTAACAGGCAGCAGTATGGCTATATAAATAATAATTATTATAACAATTAAAAACAATAATAAATAGCTAGCATTTATATAGCACTTCAAGGTTTATAAAGTGCTTTAGAAATATCTCGTTTTATCTTCACAATAACCCTGGGTAGTAAGTGCTATTATTATCTCCATTTTACAGAGGAGGAAACTGAGGCAAACAGAAGTTGTAACTTCTGAGGGGTCATACAACTGGTGAGTATCTGAGGACAAATTTGAACTCAGGTCTTTCTGACTCTAGTACAGTGTGCTACCTTGATGCTTAGATATATTCATATCTATGCCTATGTAATATATGTAAATATAGTGAGTGCTAAGATATTTTCACACACACGCCCATCCCATTTAAGTAACTGGAATATAAAGGGTATGCTCCCCAAGTTGTGCATGGTGTGACAGATGGGGCTAATCACTGAGAGTTACTCAAGAAGACAAGAATTCTTCACAGGGAGGAGTTGGGGCAACCAAAGAAAAGAAAAAATTCTAAAGGGTTTGTTCTAATCTTGCACCGAGGGATGGCATGTACCCAATAAAAAATGAGATTCATCTTCTTGACGCTTAGCAATTTTGTGGAGTTTGGAGCACCATGAAGAATGACCATAAGTTGGAAAGAGGGAGAATTTTTAAATGTCCCTTCCCATCCCCTTCAGCAGCAAAGAGCAGTAGAACATGACAAGATTTGTTGAGGAGTCCTCAACTAGATAATTTCTCCATCTTTGAACCAGTGTAACTGGAACTTATGTCTATATCTTTGTGACTAATGGGTTGTTTATTTGGGATTTTAAATTTTGTCTTCCTCCTTATAATACATCTCTTTTCAGACAATGTTATTAACTGTGTGCTTCTAAGTGGAAGTGTGCAGTTTCAATATATCTAGGGTATCATCTATGCATTTTTCCCAGGTTTTCTCTGTGAGAGCTACAGGCCATGAGAGTGAGAAAATCTCCCCATGTGTTCCGGGGAAGCCTTTGCTGTCATGCAAGTCTGGAGGCCTGGATTCTAATTCTGTTTCTAATACCATCTGGCTGTGGGATCTTGGGAAGACATTTAGCTTCTGTGGGACTATTTCCTCATCTGTACAATGAAGGCCTACATGATCCCTGAGTTTCCATCCTTTTCTTTGATTCTCACACAAGGAACTTCATCATCTAAGCAGAATTCTCTAAGCAGCCTTTTTCACCAGAAAAGACCAATAGATTTCCACAGGGATATGGAACAAGAGGGGCATCTACTGGTCAGTTTCAAAAGTAATAGGTTTTCTTTTCTTGATAGAAAGTCTATTTACATAAGATTTGACCTTGGCAAGGCATGACTCTACTTCAATTTGGTAATTTGCTTTATATGCTGAATGTAAGTAACATTAAAGATGGGGCTGATCACCGAGAGTTTAGAAATTTGGCAATAATTAGGGTAATTTTCTTGTTTCTTCCACAAGTCAATCAACTGATACTGAGTGTTATTTCCATGTGGACATGTTTCATCTCCCTTCCTACTTCCCTGTCTCTGGGTCTACAACTCACTTGTTCCTGTCCCAGCCTCCATAGATATTTTATATAAATTTATTTGTAAACATTTTCTTTCTCCCATAGAATTTGAAGGCAGAGACTGTGACTTTCCTCCTTAAATCCTCATTCGCAAATCAGTTAGTCAACAAGTCTGTATTAAGCGCTTACTGTGTGCTAGGCATGCACCACATGAGGCACAGGGAATATACAAAGAAAAGCAAAAATCGTCCCTGCCTTCAAGAAGTCCACATTCTAATGGGGTGGAGGGGGAGGGGCAACATGTAACTAACTGGGTGCATCCAAGGTATATAAAGAATAGATGGAAGGTCATCTGAAAGAGGAAGGTACTAGCAACTGGCCAACTCAGGAAAGGCCTCCTACAGAAGGTAGAGCTTGAGTCTTGAAGAAACCCAAGGAAAAAAGGGAGGGGAGGGAAGGGGAGTAGGCAGAGCATCCAAATGTGTAGGAAACAAAAATCCAGTGCAAAGGGAAATGGGAGAAGAAATGGGAGAAGAAAATGCATGCAGGCCAGTGTAGCTGGATTATAGAGTATTTGGAAGGACTAGAAAGGCAGGAAGAGAACAGATTATGAAGAGCTTTCAATGCTAAACGGAGGACTTGATATTGCATCATGAAGGCCACTGGGATGCACTGAACAGGAAGTGACGTGGTCAGACCTATACTTTAGAAAAATCCCGTTGGCAGCTAAATGGAGGATGGATTGGAATAGGGAAAGACATGAGGCAGAGAGACCATTTAGAAGGCTTAGCATAATATCTGGTACGTGATAAGAATTTAATAAATACATGTCAATTGATTAATGAGTATACTCATCAAGCAGGACTCTCTAAATATTGAGCACCCTCTCCCTCCCAAGTGATTCCTGCTGCTGTTCCAGGTGTTAGTATAACTGATAGTTCAAAAGATAGAAAGGACTATGGATGCTCCCTATTAGAAGTAGGCCATTTTGGGCAGCTAAGTGGCACAATGGATAGAGCACTGAGCCTGGAGTCAGGAGGACTTGATTTCAAATCCAGCCTCAGACACTTACTAGGCTTGCTAGGTGTATGACCCTGGACGAGTCACTTAACCCCAATTACCTCAAAAATAAAAAAAAGACAAAGAAACAGGCCATTCAAGCTAGAAAAGATGCTCACAACAAGAAAAAAAGGAAGATTAATTGCCTACTGTCCATCACAACATACCAGGGCAATGAAAGAAAGTTGAAAGCAAGCCCAGAAGACAATTTTGGGTCATTAATGCAAAGGTAAGACTAGATTTAGCTTGGAGGGAAAAAAAAGACTTAAGCTGGGATTTATGATGTGTTGCTGGGTTTTTTTTTAATAATTTAGGTAACTGTATTTTAATATAATTTATTTCCTTTGTAATCCAATGCATTTTATTTCGTGCATTTAAGAACATTTCTAAGAAAAAACCCATAGGCTTCATCAGGCTGGTCAGAGTGGTCCATGACCAAAACAAATGGTTTAAAATCTTTGGGGTTCTGCTAAAGGTCCATCAGGCTGGTCAGAGTGGTCCATGACCAAAAAAAATGGTTTAAAATCTTTGGGGTTCTGCTAAAGGTTCAAGTGTTTATGGGGATTTGTTCTATTCGACCCCAGAGGGTCATTAGCAGCATTTTGGTATATGTTTTTTTGTTAGACAAGCAAGGTTAACTGACTTTCCCAGTGTCACACAGCTAGTAAGTATCAAGTGTCTGAGGCCAGATTTGAACTCAGGTCCTCCTGACTTCGGGGCCAGTGCTCTATCCACTGCCCCACCTAGTTGCCCCTCTGGTAAACTATCGGGGTGGGGGGGAATGTATATAGGACACACTTTTAAGTTTAATCTGAATTATTAATGTTTTTCTATTACTTTAAGTCCAGACAACCAACAAAATAACAAAGTCCTGATTTGTGACATTTCCTGGTTTCTGTGGCATAAATGCTCACACTAAAAGTTTAATTACTGGCTCTCTTGAGCCAGGTAGAACTGACCCCACCTCATCCCTGACAGAACTAAAAGTAATGAGTAGAAATCAGACAGGCAAAGTTCAGCTTGATGTAGGGAAAGCTTCATAATGATGAGAACTATCTGAAAGTGGAATGGACCACTGATGGCAATGAATGTGTTAGTTTCTAAAGTAGATCTTGAATGACTACTATTCTCAGACATTGTGGGAGAGATTCCTTGTGGATTTTATGGCCTCTGAGGTCCCATCCAACTCTGGGATCATGTAATAAGTGGGAGGCAAACTGAGAGCCAGCCCCCAAATTAATGACTTGGGATAAGTAGGAGTCCACAAACAAAGACAGGAGAGGGAACGTCCCAAGGTCAGCACAGGATTTGGGTAGAGTTTACAATAAAGTTGTTCTGGGATTTGTTCACTCTAGAGTTTCCAGCTTCCTTTTCAACATCCTTTTATCATGCCTGCCTATTTCAAAAGGTAGCACTCTGGGAATTCTTCACTACCAACCACAGTTTTGGGGCTATGTATAATGGACCACTGAATGAGCAAGTGTCTATCTGGAGAGAGTGGTAAATGAGGACTGTTAAGCTTCAATTCAATTCAATTCGTGAGACACGTATTAAGCACCTACTGTATGCAAGTCAGTAGGGTTACAAGGACTATGATGCAGTCTTTGAACCGACAATCTATTGGGGTTATACACGTGTTCACAAATTATTAAATACAAACTTTAAGAACCTGCAATTTCATTACTATTAGCAACTCCCAGGAGAGGAAACTCACTCTCTCCCATGCAGGAAGGCATCTTTTCTGCAACTTACAGTCTCAGGGTTGCCTAGAGCACTGAAAGCTTAAGTAACTTACCCGGAGTTTCATAGCCGATATATGTCAGAGGAGAAACGGAGAAAAGAAGAAATACATCAGAAAAGGAAGAAAATTGTGTTGTTTCTGGGCCATTTTTAGTCTCTTTATGTGTTTTCTGCATAGTGTATTCAATAAGCCATTTATCTCCCTCATCTCACCATTGTAGGTCTTGTGTCTAACACAAGCTATGGCCTAAGAACAGATTTAACTGATTGTGGCCACGCTTAGAACCCTCAATGGGAAATGGGAGCAATTTGCCAAAATGGCCAATTCATAACAACATAATCACCCAGATACAGTCCAAGGTTTTTATCTGATAGGACCAGTTTTGCTAAGAATGCACCCCATCACCAAACCTCTGGGGTTGGAGAGCCTCTGACTTACCTCCTCTTACCCTGATGTTCAAGTGGAGCAAGTGTGAAATCAGGGTCCTATAGCCTGAGCTGTCTTCAGAATCAAGAAGTCAGTGACAGGAAGTGGTAGGCAGGCAAAGTCACTAAAGTGCGTGGGAAAAGAGAAGGAAAGACATTCAAGATTTCAGGTCAGAGGTAGCATGTATGGAGCAAACCAGAGTGATAAATCCATGTATGACATTGTAGGAGACAATTGGAATAGATCCTGCCCTAACTACAGCAGCAGGTGCCTTTTGACAATCCCAAGCAGGTCTTACCCTATTGTGCCTTCTTATCCATAAGCAGATGCTTGACTAGTGCTCAACAGTTGGCTTAACAGCTGGCTTAACAGCTAGGTAATGCAGTGGCTAGAGTGCTGGGGCTGGCATCAGGAAGACCTGAGTTCAAATCCCGTTTCAGACACTTCTCAGCTTTGTGATCTTGTGTGACACTTAACCTCTGCCTGCCTCAGTTTCCTCAACTGTGAAATAAGGATCATAATGGCATCTACCTCCCAGGGCTGTTGTGAGGATCAAATGAAATAACATTTGTAAAGCGTCTTATAAACTTGAAATGCAACATAAGTGTTAACTATTATTATTAGCTAAGACAACAAAAGCTACAATGAATTTCTCATTATTTAAACAAGAAACTTAGGCAGGTCTCTTATAATGTATGCATTTCCTACCTCCCCCCCCCCAAAAAAAGGTATCTCAAGCTAGGCCTCTTGTTTTCAAGTGTTCAACAAGGTTTTTGCTATTGTAAATACCATTACAAAGAAATCTTATGTAAAACAAAGCCCTCTCTGTATTGTAGATGATGGCCCATAGTAACAACAATTTATGGTCAGAGCAAATAATAACCAATACAACCAATGTCATTAGTCTCTGTCTCTGCAAAAAAAAAAAAAAGAGGATGCATTTGATGGTATGTCAAATAAACTGCAGGTGAGGTAGGGAAAAAACTAAACTGTAACCAATTATTCTCTGCTCTTTTGTTCTGCTATCAAACAACAATTAAAATTCATAAGTGTCTCAGAATTGTGCTGCGGCTATGAGAATTTTTTAAAAGGGATGTGACATTTCATAGGCCTCTTTAAGGAGCTCACAATTCGGTTTGGGAGAGAAGGAGGAGGAGGAAGAAAAGAGGAAGAAGAAGAAGAAGAAGAAGAAGAAGAAGAAAGAAGAAGAAGAAGAAGAAGAAGAAGAAGAAGAAGAAGAGAAGAAGAAGAAGAAGGAGATGATTTATATAATGCTATCTATCAGCCAGGCACTATGTTAAGCACTTTACAATTATTAGCTAATTTGAGTCTCACAATAGCCCTGGGAGATAAATGCGATTATTATGCCCACATTATAGATGAGGAAACTGAGGTAGACAGAGTTGAAGTGGACTTGCCCAGGGTAACATAGCCAATAAGTGCCTAAGATCAGATTTTAAAATGAGGAGTTTTGCCTAGTAGTGTATCATCTGTGCTCTAGGTAACAAAAACGTATTTTACAGACAATAAGTGTTACACTTGGTTAGAAAAGGGAAGAGACTTCAGTGAGCTGCAATTCATACAAGTCTCAGAACTGAAAGAGACCTCAGGAAACATCTACGTACAATTAGTACCTGGAAGGGGCCTCTGTTTTGTAAAGGGCCCAAGAAATCCACTCTCCCTTGTTTCTTTGCTCTGTTCCTGACCCACCAGACTTTCCACTTTGTCCCTCCCTGCACAAGTATCCTTCACACCAGCACCCTTTCATGACATTTTCTTCTTCCATTAGAATGTGGGCTCCTTGAAAGCAGGGCCTATCTATCTTTTTGCCTTGTATTTGTATTCCCAGAGTTTATAACAGTGCCTGGCACAGAAAACCACTTAATAAATGCTCTGTCTAAGGATCTACATATCTATCTTCCAAATGAGAGTCCATCAAATACTTGAAGGCAACCACCATGTTCCTCTCAAGCCTTCTCTACTTCCTACCTGAGTGACCCTGGGCAAGTCATTTCACCTCTCTCAAACTCAGTGACTTCATCTGTAAAATTAGCATAATAATAGCACTTACCTCTCAGGGTTTAGAAGATCAAACGAGTAACATATATCCAGCACTTTGCAAGGCTTAGTGTCTTACAATGCTAGCCATCAGTGGAGACTGTCCTCCAAGTTGGCATTGATCCACTAACTATTTGTTTTATCTTTGATGCTTAATTTCTGTTTTGGAGAGGTTTCAGTTCATGGATATCAGAGACTTTGATGCCTAGTTTCCGTTTTGGAAAGGTTTGAGCTCATGGATATCAGAGACTTCGATGCCTAGTTTCCATTTTGGAGAGGTTTGAGTTCATGGGTATCAGAGACTTCGATGGCTAGTTTACCTTTTGGAGAGGTTTGAGTTCACGGGTATCAGAGAAACAAATAAACAGCAACCAAAGTTGGAAGGTTGTGAGACGAGGCTTCATGGATGAAGAGGGAATTGAGCTAATCCTTGAAGTACTGTTAGGATTTGAATAAAGAGAGAGACATGCTCACTTCCCCCACCCCCTTCCACCTACCTCAATCATAAATTTCCTAATCCATACTGTGCTCATTGCTTCAAGACCTGGAATGTTACAGGGTGTCTTCAATGAGATCAATGGTTATTCCAGAGAAATCAGCCTAACAATCCATATGGGAAAAACTGAATTGTCCGGACTGTCACATGAAACTGAATGGCCACCTAAAATCTAAAGCACTCACCCAAACAAATCAAGTCAACAAGCATTTAGCACCAAGCACCTACTACGTGCCTGGCACTAAACTAAGCGCTGGAGATAGAAAGACAGGTTTTAAACAATGACAATATACAAAAAAGAAACAGCATGTAGGAGGAGGACAGGGATGGGAATGGCTTACATCATAAAACTCCTTTTATTTTTCTCCCTATGGATTCATGTAGCTTTTCTGTAGCTAATTTATCACGAAGAGGCCCAGCATCAGCACTGTTTCACCTGTCCCCCCTTCCTCCTTCTCCTCTTGCAAGCCTTGAATGTGATTTTGAACAATTTATCACAGTTCTACTGGGACAAACAACGCTAACGTCCTGCAGGGTTCATTGTAGTAGGTCTTGACCTGGCCCGTAGGAGGAAATAGTAACCAAGGACACAGAATGGCATTCCGAAGCCCTGAGCTCTATTCCTAGAGTTGACATCGATTTGCCCAACGACCCTTCATTCCCTGGTTTCCCCATTTGCAAAATCAGGTCACAATCTGCTCACTCTCCCCTGTGGGCCAGGGAATACACATTCCTTGAATACAGTCATAGCAGGAGCTGCCAACATCCCTTCCCATAACCTTTCCTTATGCTGCACTGCAGGGGGAAATCATGCTTTCCAAGCCAAAAGCTTACAAAGCCATTGGCTCCAACTCCTATCTTCATGTCACACAGCCTGGGCACCCATCCAGGGCCAACCTTGCTAATCAGCTCAGTGGTAGGCATCCACCCACACAAGTGGGGTTTCAGGGGCACTGGGAAGGTTGCCCTCACCAAGAAAAAGCAATACCTTTATTACCAGCACTGTCATCACTTCCCTTCCCCATCAGCCTGCCCTAGAAGGGCTTCAGCACTTCAGTGGGTCTTATGCCCCATCCATGGGAGCGCTCACTCCTTCCATCAATACAGACCACAACTCCATCTTTGTCTTCTGACTACCACTAACTACCTATGTGACCTTGGACAAGTCAACCTCTCTGAATCTCAGTTTCTTCTCCTATAAGAAGAGGGGGTTGCATTAGATGAATTTACCATCATTTACTACCTGTTAGTGCCCAGGTGACTTGGGGAAAGTCATTACACCTCTATGGGCCTCTGTTTCCCCCTATGTAAGAATAGGGTGTTGAACTAGATGGACTCTGAGGTCCTTTTTGGCTCTAAATTAGTGCTTCTAGGATCCTGTGATTCTCATCCTATGAAATTTTTTTCAAAATTATTTTTTAAATTTTTTATTAATTTATTTTGATTTATCAACAATCATTTCCATAAGCTTTTGAGTTCAAAATTCTTTTTGAAATTCATGTTATCCCTTGGCACTTCCACAGAAGATAAACAAGATGCCGTGAGGCCTTCCATGAGCTCTTCTTCCATCTTATGGGCACCAGTACTGCACTCCAGATGTCCATTTGTTATCCCTAACACTCACTACGTGACTGCCCCACCTCCCTTTCCAATTATTCATTTCCACAACAATATCCTTTCAGCCACATCTTGTACTTGGGTTATCTCTGGGAATATGTTGCACTTTATCTGTGACTGCCATGTAGCTCTCCATTGTCCTTTGGGACACCTACATTTTAAACCTTCAGAAACTGTAATGTTCTAAGACTGGCAAGCAGACAGCATCACTGGGAATGCAATAGAGTGCTTAAAAATAAAAGAGTAACTTGGATTCATTAAAAGCACTACACAATGTCCCTAATCCAAATCCAAACCAGCCTCCTCTCTACCTATTCAATTTTGGACACAGCTCATTGCCAACTGTTGTACTTATCTGAATTATAAGAACTTACATACTAAATTAACAGACTGGCCATTCAGCTTCCTGTGATGGTCTGGACAATTTAGTTTTTCCCATGTGAATTGTTGGGCTGATTTCTCTGGAATAATCATTGATCTCATTGAAGACACCCTATAACATTCCAGGGCTTGAAGCAATTAGCACAACATAATCTTCAAACAGAAGCATCTGGAAAACTTCACCATCTAGAAGAAAATGCTCTTTCACTGGGATCTTCTGCAGAGCATCCTCCACAAGAGTAGTAAATACCTTTGATGATCATTGACCTGTGTCATGCCTTGCTTGATGTTAATAATCATCACTGAAGAGAATTATTTCTGCAATGACATCTATGAATGAATCTTATATGATCTTAACATATATGCATGAAAGAATATGAATTCGTGAATGAAAAGCATTTATTAAGGGCTCACCATGTTCCAGGCATTGTGCTAAATGCTGGGGATACAAATGCCTGGCAGAAATAAACGTACTTGCTCTCAAAGAGCTTATATGCTTATATGGAAGATAATAAAGTTGGAGACACCACAGAGCAGTGGCCTGGTTTAGAAATGGCAAAGAATACAGTAAA